TTCGCATAGAACTAAAAACGCTGCCAACTACTTTCCACTTACCTGGCACTATGCCACGCCCACCAGGCAGCAGCAAGCCGTACGGCCCAGGGCCCCGAGTGCCGGGTCTCGGGCCCCGCATCCAAATCGCTACAGCCATTAGAGGCTGACGGAAAAAGCGGCGCTAAATGCGTTGTGAATTATTTAAGGCACGTGTGTTGCGCAGAATGCGGCAAATTCGACAGTGAAATGCATTTATTATTGAAGATGCGAGTGGAGCAGCCACACAGCCCCACAGCCCCACAGCCCCACGCCCCTCTCCCCTTTCTGCAGTGGTAGGCAGTCCTTTGGCTGACAAGCCAACCAATTATGTGCGCCTGATGAGTGCCCCAATGGAGAGCAGTCGACGTAGATCGGGGTTTATATTTTGATAAACGCTTTAGAGTTTGAAAACTTTTGCTGCCGCTGCCGCTGCCGGTGTGTGGCACGTGATTGGAATTACGCGTGGGCCATGCCACACACACACACACACACACACATGCCCCCCACCCTTAGCCAGCCTCAAAAACCTCAACCTCAACTTCAATCTCAACCCCCTCTCCCTCTCCACAGCATAAGTGGAAATTTTACACGACTTTTCTGTGACAGGTGAGCTCTGAAATGTGGCAGGTGCGAGGCGAGGCGAGGCAGCAATGCGGCGTGTGCAAGCTAAAAGATGTTTCTGATTTTGTGGCAATTGACAAATGTTGCACACATTGTGCCAAATTAGCATATATATAAATATATGTACATAGATATGTATATATATAAATCTATACATGAGCAGACTCTCCTTGAAATGTCTTAAAGAAAGATATTCAAGTGACAGATACAGATACATATGTATCTGAGGATATGCGCATATCCCTGTTACATAGCAAATACATCCTTTTGGGTAATTCACAGATGGGAATATGCACATGAAATATCTCCACAAGTCCTGAAATATTGCTAAATATACGAGTCTAAATTATATATGCGTAACATATGCTAAAATAATAATATGCTAATACTTGCTAAATCAAATATATTAAATGATAAAACTGAAAACTCATTAATATTAATTATAATTAATAGATTTCCAGTTATTAGTCACTTATACAGTGAAGGGTATATTGGCTTTGCTGAATATCCATCCATCCTGTCTGTATGAAAGCGAACCAACTCGTCGCCATTAAGCCACTAGACTATTTAATCCAGTATCTTTGTTTGTTTTCCACTATCGGGAATTTCCCAAGGCGTACAGACCTAGAAAATACACTATCTGATATCATAGAAAGAAAGTTATTCAAAGGCCTAAGCCCTCAAAAATTTGTTGACAACCTAATATCATATAGAATATGTATATAAGTATATATCTACCATCGCTCATTGCACCGGCTAAAACTGTATTTTCTATACTCGATCATTGCTGTGAAATAGACAATAGAATGAATACCGTAAATACCCAATATTTTCAACGGCTTACAAGGCTTTTTTGTTTCATGATTCGAACCCATTAAAGGGAAAAGAAACAAGGCATAACCGGAGTTCCTATACGCGTATGGATAATATACATATTTGTAATTCCATTTCCATAATCCCATCAGTCACAAATGCAAGGACTTCGCATAACAAATACATTAAACATATACATATACATTGCTTAGCACATGGAACATCTCTCTCTCTCTCTCCCTTTTGTTTCATGTGATGTTTTTATTTGATTGAAAAGTGAAAAATTGGAAATACAAATTGGATTGTAATGTAGTTAGTTTTACATCTGACGATATATACTCGTATTATATATGTTGTATATTATAGCATGTCTCTCTCTCTCCCTCTCTCTCTCTCTCTTTCTGTGTCTCTGTCTGTGTGTGTGTGTGTGTTACTACTGCTGCTGCGCTCAGTCTTGCTTTAGTTGGCCGCCGGTTCACCATTGCCCTGCACATGGAGAATCATTTCGAAGGGATCCCACTCCAGATCCGATTCGTGTTTGACACGTCGTCTGCTCGCCCCGGGCGCCTGATGATGCAGATGAAGGTGGGGATGATGGTTGTTGTTGTGATGATGATGAAGCAGATGCTGCGAATGCATTAGATGGGCGCCATGCTGCGCCAGTTGCTGCTGCACCTGACCGATGGGCAAATCCTGCGAGTGCTCGGCCAGCCCGGGCGGCCGGTAGAGCTGTAGGGGATGCGCCTGTGGCTGGGCGTGGCCAATGGCCAGGGAGTGGGAGTGGGGCTGCTGCTGTTGTTGTTGTTGTTGCTGTTGCTGCTGGTGCTGCTGCTGCTCGCTGACCATCTCCTGGATGTGCTCGCGTGTCTGCTCCCGTTCGTCCACCTTCCGGAGCAGCATCTCCCGCATAAAGGACATGCGCTCGAAGTGCTCCCAATTCGACCGGAAGCCCTGCTGCGCGTACTGGGCGTGCCGCTCCTTCTGCAGCTCGTCCACATAGCGCTGCTTGATGATCGACCAGCGCGTCTGCATGAGTGCTGCAAGGCGATGATAATCTGTAGTAACTCGCAACGGCTCATTTTTATTTGAGAACATATATTCATATATGTATATGTATAATATATACGATATATGTTTATTCGCTTTTAATTTTACTGTTCACTAGATTTTTTTTAGAAGAAATCTTATATGTTTGTGGTTTGGAAAATTATTAGGAATGAAGTTTAAAGGCTTTATATTCGACTCCCTAGACTGGAGCACGAACAGAGACTGTGAACTCAGAAGGCTTTGCATTTATGTAATTTTTCTGTATTTTATGTATTTTCTGTATAACATTTAAGGTAAACAAATACTCAGACGTTATATATTCTGCTTTTCTAATAACCAGAAAATTCCCATTGATTAGGCCTATTTTTCCTCCTCCACTCTTTATTTTAAAGGTAATTTCATTGTTTATAATATCATTGTCTAACTCATTATTATTTTTTAAACTATATAGATTTTAGAACCAATTTTAATTCATATAAAGTTTCTACACAAATCAATGTATGTAATCTAAATACACTCCACTTAGAGATCTGACTTTATTACAATTTAATTTTAAGCATCATGATAACATTTAAATTCAGATATCGAAAATCTAGACGATCCCATTCATATAGAGCGATAAAAAGTAAATATGAGATTAATATACCCATTTTAGAAATTTAAACCCTTAACTAAACAAATGTATTGCAAATAATTCGACTTCATAGCCTCCCTCCCTCCCACAGTTGGTCTTGCGGAATGGTCATATACAGTCCGTACTTACTTGGCGTTAGACCCATCTCGTTGGCCGCCTCCTTCCAGACGGCGGAGGTGCGGCTTTGGCCCTGTCCCTTTTCGCTGCGCTGGCGCCCCGCCCACAGCGAGGGGCGCGCCTTAATGGCATCGATGATGCGGCCGCGCATGCTGTTGTGCAACGAACTGGGCCGGCCCAGTTTGCGCATGGGCGTGGTCGTTGCCTCCACGGTGACAGCTGCCGGCGGCACAAGTCCTGTGAAGGCGGTGTAGGTCATGCCATGCGCAGCCGGCTGCTCAATGAGATGAGGCAGCTCCGGCGAGGCGGAGACGCTAGCTGGGGGGCCAGCGGGCTGTGGTGCAATCGATGAGGCCGTGGGCTGCAGCCAGCTGAAGCTGCCGCTGGGACGCCCGCGTCCATGCGTAGCACTCGGCAAGGGGGGCGGTGGCAGTACGGGCGGGGAGCCGCCCTCCTGGTGAGCGGGCTCGTTAGAAGAACTCGTCTCAGAGTTGCTCGAGTTGGTTTGAGCGCCCACGATTTTGGCTACCGTTATGTTGTACATAAAGGACATGGGCTCGAAGTGCTCCCACTTGGTGTTAAAGCGCTCTTTGTGCAGGATCTGGCGATGCACCAGATTGTGGTAGTGATACTTCATTTGACTCCAAATGGACTGCAGTTTAACTGGATGGGCGAGAGAGCAGATAAGGAAAGGTCAATGAGAGATGGCGCATGATAAGCCTTATTAGTATTATTATTAGTGAGAATCGCCTAGAAAGGTAGTGCTGAAAGAGGTAATGCGACAGATGAGCTAGTTAAAGAGATCAGTTACTACAAACTATAACATATTGAGATCATGTAGAATACATATGTATATATACACTATAATGAAAATCTGTACTTTAACAACACTCTTTGTAAATACAATGTAACCATCTACTACAACCTGTGACCCGAAATATATAAAGAATATATACCGTATATATATTCTTTATATAGAAATATAGAATATAGAAAAGCTACATTGACATATCAAAATCTTTTGTCTGTGTCGAGTCTATGTAGATACAATCTATAGTCTATGAAAATATAGATAAAGAAACTCTATATTGGCCTATAAAAATCCTTAGTTTACCTTTATCTATTATTCACATTTCAATTCCTATCTTTTTACATAAAGATCTGAAAATTGATCTTTTACTATTCTTCCACGCTCTACAAATTAGTTAATATACCCCAAATGCATACATACACACATGCATGCATACATACATAAATACATACATATGTAATTACGCTATGAATCCCTTTTCCAATTGGGCATTTTACAACCTATGACAAACAGTGCATGCATCTATTAATAGCACATGCATACAGCCGAAGAGAAAGGCCAGAGAGCGAGGGCGCAAGAGAGAGAAAGAGAAGAGAGCAGCAGCGAAACACAAAACAATAACAAATTGAAGCCGGCTGCCAGGCTAAGCTTCGAGCCCAGTAGAAACTTTGCTAATGCTTCTGCTTGTGCTTGTAAGTACACGCAGGCATAAGCATAAGCACACACATACCGTATAGCTATCTCAGTCGCACTCACCTGTAGGCACATGACCGCCAAACTGTTCGGCGATCTCGTTCCACATGGGCGATGTGACGCTGCGGCACAAGTGGAGCTTGTTGTTGGAGTCCCAAATTTCTGGATACTTCTTGATGGCCTTCAGCAGCTGAGCGCGATTCACGAACGGATCCTCCTTGGGCATGGCGACAGGATGTGCTCCTACAGCTGGAGAGCCGGTAAAGGTAAAGGCAGAGGCGAAGGCGGTGACGGTGACGGCGTCGGTGGCGTTGGAGTTGGCGATGGCGGCGACAACAGCGGACGCGGAGCACAACTGCGTCCTTTGACATCAATTATCGGCGAATAACTGAAAGTAGAGTTTGCAAAATATGCGAATTGAAAATGAAAAGGCAAAGCGATTGAGGAAAATAGAGAAAACGATGACGACGTCGGGGCAACGACGACGCCAGCGACAGCAGCAGCAGCGACGACGACGACGACGGCGGCGGCGATTGTTGCTGTAGTCGTTGCCTTTGTTGTTGGGGCCCAGCGATGCCGAGAGATTGAAAAGCAATGTGGCAGAGGCAAAAGCAGCGCAAAAACGGCGAAAGCGCACACGAGATGAGATACACAAAATGCAAGCGAAAAGAGAGAACAGACAGAATGTGCAAAAGCAAAAAAACAAAAACAAAAAAAGCAGCAGCAACAGTTCGGCAATAGCAACGACAACGATGTACACCGTCTGTAAGTGTGCGTGCGTGGATGTGTGTGTGTGTGTACGTATGTAGGTGCTGCCGATAGAGGTAACTGTAGAGGTCGGGGGCGGGGGAGATTGGTGTGCTGTGGCACAGCCATACATAAGACGACGCGACGACCAAAGCGCACACAACAAAACAGACAAAGGCAACGAAGACCAGAGACAAAGCAACAACAACAACAACAACAACAACAACAGCGAACTTTATGGCAGAGACGGAGCTGCAAAAAAAGTAAATACAAAAACAACAGCAGCAAAGTGAACGAAAAGAAAATAACAGACAAAAAAGAAAGGCAACGATAAACAACGGCGACGCCGAAGTCGACGCCAGCGTTTGGGCTCACTTGCATGGCCGGTGTATATGTATGTAGGTGTGTGTGCGTGTGCCTTGTTGGGTTTGCCACAGACTCGTCGCGCAGTTGAAGGTGGCCACGGCACGGCACGGCTTCGACATCGACATCGGCATCGGCTTGAAGTCGGGCCGCATTAGAAGAAGCAAAGGCAAAGCTCGTGCTGCGCTCTCAACGCGAATGCGAAACAAAAGAGCAGCACCAAACCGCGTCGAGTGCTGAGCAAAATGCAGGCAGGCAGGCAGGCACACGCAAACAGAGCAAAATGCACGATGACCGATGCGACAGAAGCAGCAAACAGCGACAGCAGCAGCAGCAACAGCAACAGCAACAGCAACAGCAACAGCATAGCGACGCTAAAGCACAGGCCGTAGACGCAGACGCAGCTAAGCAGAGCCGCCCGGCCAGTCGGCTGTCTAAACAGCAACAACTACTATGTACCTAACTGCACATGTATACGCACACACACACGCACGCACACACGCACGCACACGCACACAAATAAACGCCTAGTTACTGACGAACGGGCGCTCGTACACAGTCGGTCCGACGTTCGGGCGATCTGTCGACCAGTTGGTCGCTTTTGGGGGCTACGTGCAATGAACCCATTTCGCAGCAACTACACAACTACAACTACAAAACTATAGCTGCAACTGCACACAATTAACACACACAGACACACGCACACACACACTGGCGAGTTGAGTTTCGTTCGTGTTGGTGCATAGCGCACCCACAGCGCTCGTTTTTGCCAACGCACAGGCAACAACAACAATAGCTAGGCGAGAAATCGTCCCAAAAGCTTGAGCATTTCATGAGGGTGCCTCACTGCAAAAGTAGGGGGCGTCAATAGAGATGTGTAAGAACAAATGCAGAATGTTTGTACTTGTATAATAAATATTAATTATTTATTTATTTATTATAAGAAACTCAGTATTGTTAAAATATTTATATTAAATATGAAACTTAAAATATTTTTTTAAAACTCAAATATTTTTGCAATACATTATGCAATACATTATGCAATATATTATGCTTTTATATACAACCTGATTAGTCCAACTTCATATATAATTATTTAATTTAAGTACATAAAAACTTAATGGGGTCACATCTATTTCTTACTTGGCATTTGGACTCTCTCCCACACAAGCTGTTAAAATGGACATCAAATAGATCTAATGAAAGACTTCCTTTCAATCTTTCAGAATACGTGATTGGTTGCTGCTAAGAATAATTTAGACATGAATTGGGTTTTAGCTGAGTCCGGGCCCGGGTCACATCTGAGATCGGGGCAGGCTTATCATAAGAGCAGCGCAGCGCTCAGCATTTTCATCAATTATTCAAGGCCATGACACTGGACCAACTGATTCCGTTCCGAATGAAATGCTAACGATAATGCTCCATTCAATTCCATGCCGTTCCTCTGCTGCCCCTCCTCTCCCTCTGCATTTCTAATGCCGTTGTTAATGCTTTTAATGTTTGTCGTTTTATTGGCTACTGTTTGTGACTCGGCTATCTGCGAGAGATACATCACTGGAGATGTGGGGATGTGGGGCTGTGGGGTGCGGGAGCACGGGGGTATCTGCGAGATACATGTGTGCGCACACGCACTTATCTGGAAGCGGTGTCTTTAATTTTTATGACTGCATAAATGGTCCTGAGCGGCTCCCAGAGCTCAGCGTAATTTGCTAGATTAGAATTAATTTCGAGGCGCAGGCAGATACTCATAGAGCCGCCCGAAACGACGAAAAAAAAAAAGAACTTTCGACGGGGGGCAGTAAAAAAACGACACGTAATGTTTATGCGGCTGGACACTGGGCGGGGCGCAGAGGAGCGCGGAGGCGTGGCAGTCAGTTAGATAGACAGACAGGCGGGCTGGCTGGCACACAGGCTCCACATCAATTGTCGTTCTGAAGATGGGCTTGAAACTGGGCACGGAGTGGGAGCTGGGATATGGGAGCTCTATCTGCTTTGGTATCTTCTGTAGTTGGGGGATTCTTTCCACTCTTCGCTGTTTTTTTCTGTTTTATTTTCATTTATGCTTTTTAAGTGCTTCATTAAAATCGCGTATGGCCACGGCTCGGGGTCGCTGTCGGGGTCTGTGCCTGCCTGATGCCTGCCATCTGTGGCTGGGGCTGAGGCTGGGGCGGACAGACCTTTGTCAGCGTCATCAAGCACGGCACACACTCACACAAAAAAATAATAATACGAAAAAGTATCTTTCAGATACATGTCCAAAACGCAAAGAAAGCAAAGCATAAAAAACGCACGACAGAATTACAAAAAGCAAAAAAGCAAAAAATAAACATAAATAAACAAGTAGAAGCAGCGGCCCATGCCAAGGTAAACGCCTAAAAGATACCACGTAAATAAGATGCCTAAATAGATAAAGGTAAATATATAAATACAATTTTGGAATTTATTGCAAATTTTTGCAGGCCTTTACCCGGAGTCAGAGCCGGAGTCGGAGTTGGAGCTGGAGTTGGAGCTTAGCCAAACATGGAGTTATTTCTAATAAATAATATATTTGTGCCACGGCGCGCATACCCTTCCAATCGCCCGTCTATTCCCCTGGGCCTACAGGGTATAAAGAGCTACAAGAAATAAAAAGAATTATAACCAAACATGTTTTTCACTCAGCTCTGCGCTGCGCTGCGCCGGTGTCAGGCCCCCAACTCCAGACGTAAAGTCGCAGCTCCAACTCCGGTTTTTCGACTATGAGTGTGTGTGTGTGTGTGTGCGTGGCAATATGTGTCCCGCTCATGCGACGGTGCAAAAAGTTAAGTATCTTGTTGTTGTTGCGTTTTTTTTTTAAGGTGCGCGCATATAAAGAGGCCTTCTTAACGGCCAGACCCAGAGCCCAAGTTAGAGCCGTTCCCTGCTTTCCCCCAACTCGCCCTCTTTAGGCCGCTGCGTTCGCTACGTTGAGTTGGAGGCAACGTCTAAAGATAACACCAGCAACAACAATAATGGCTTGCAGCATCCAAAAGCCAATTGGACAAGCTCCTTTTCAGCCTCTACATCTGCCTCTACCATTGCCTCTACTTCTGCCTCTACCTCTGTCTCGTCTACCCCTGACTCTACCTTCACCTTCCAAGTCTGCCTCAGCCTTAGCCTTAGCCTCAGCTGCAACCTAAGCCTCAGTCTCAGCTTCATCTCCCACCTCAGTCCCAACCCAACCAAGCTTCATCTCAGTCCCATCTCCTGCCAGCAGCCGCAGTCGCCTACTCCTCTCTTCTTCTCCAGCTCTACTTGAGGTTCAGCTTCAGCAACAGCTTCAAGTTCATCCTCAGTCCCAACTCCAGCCACAGCCCCATCCCCAGCATCATACCGTCCTCATGCTCCCCGTATGCCATGTGCAAATCACATACAGTAGCAAAAAATTTCGACAGTTATTTACGATTAGCACAAAAGATACGAGACATGACATGCGCTGAGATGCCGCGAAGATGCAGATGCAGATGCTGTTCCAAGACAGAGCAGAGGACGGTGTGGTAGAGGCGAGGCTCAACATGAAACCAGGTCTGTTACCCACTGGCTACTGTTGCCTGCCAGCCAAGCACAGCGGGCGACAAGGGTTCCCTCTTCAGCTCTCTACCTCTCCCTCTGCCGCGCCCGCACCTTCTCCCACAGCACCCTCCATTTCCAGCTCCATTTCGGGATCCAGATCCGCGCTATGGCCAGACAGCGAGAGAGTTTTACTGTTTGTTTACCTTCGTTTTGCAGTTCTCGAGAACGGAGAACGGAGCTTCATTTATGAGCTTCGTTTGATGATCAATTAAATGCTTCTGACACTCTTGAAAAAGCAATCGTGGGCTCTTTTTGGGCACAGATTAAACAAAGGCTGAACACTACTGGAGTATACTCTATATTTTTGTAAAGGGGGTATTTATACTTCAAAGTGTCTATGACAGGGAAAGTATGTCCATCTCTTTTTTTAATTATTTTGTTTTTAGTAGAGCTTCTTTTGTAGTACACATACTTTCTCTCTACTTCTCTCTAGTTTCTGAGATTATTTGATGTATCTCTCAATATTTCTGTATTTTTTTCCATATTTTTATCTTTTCTCCCTCTTTGCTCTCCTCACTTACGCTCCCGCTGTCTCTAGTTCAATGAATCGTTAACAATCATTCGGTATATTTCTGACTCTCTCCATCTTTCTTCCTATTTCAGTCCGGATTCTTGATATACACATATATATCTCATATATATATCAGTCTAGCTTTGCTTTCCGTCTCTCTCTCCCACATTGTTTACAATTCTTTGTCTCATATTTCATATTTTGCCTTCGCTTTCTCTACTAGAGATTTTGTCTCCTCACCTTCACCATTCGTATACCCTGTAATCTGAATGAAATACGATATTAAAAGAGGGTAGGAGAGAGGGAGAGAAAATGATGATGGAAACGACATGCGAATGCGATCGCCAGAAGGTAGACATCTATAGTGTCGTATAAACTATATGTGGACAATGACATAAACGAGGTTATTCCGGATTGCGGCCAATTCCGTAAGCCATAAGCACAATTTATGGGACTCGGAGGCCTGTTGCATAAATTAGCTGCGATAATAAGTGCCTCGCTGCACTCGTGTGCATTTGCCACATCTTGTGGCAAACTTGGCAATAGAAGAACTCTTGCCAACAACAACAACAGCAACAGCAACAACAACAAATTTATCGACTCGTGCGTCCTGTTGCGTGCAATGCAATTTAAATGCGACCGAGGGGGCGTGGCAGTGGCCGCCTCCCGGCGCAGCATTCGCGTGCGTTTTAATGCACTTTATCATTTGCCTGCACTTTGTTTTATTATTTATATTTACTATAATTCACCGCAGTTCATTTGTGCTGCGGCGATGCTAGAATGCGAGATACTGCGTAATATTGAAGAGACTTTAATATAAATGTTTTGAAAATTGTCTATTAATGATCTAATAAAATAAAAAATATCATATTAAAAAAGTCATCATATGTTATCATTTTGTCAAATGTTACAGGGCATAGGTACGAGTATGAGTATGAGTAAAATAATACTTAATACTAATATTAAACTCTCACTACCATTGCAGAGTTTATTGATGAACTAAGAGACTACTACGCTTTGGATGAAAAATATTACAGGCTATAATTATAGTCTCATACGTTATGTCATTCGCAATATAAGTATTTCTATTGTTTGATAAGTATTTAATTATATAAGGCACTGGTTTATAAAAATATTATAGAGTATATTATAGAGTATATATTATATTTTCATTCAGTAATGCTCATAGAATGACAGAAATTTCTCGCTTAGCCCTCTGT